TAACCTAAAAACGAAGAAAAAGCTACACTGTCTGTTGTATTGCACTGGCTGCAGCTGCGTTGACACCACCACCCTGCGGGCGACTGGTTCGCCTCTCTCTGCATGCGGGGGTTGTTTCTTCGTTTGTTTTTTGTGTTTTGTTTGAATAAAATGAATAAAAACTGCGGCATTTGGGGTTTTATTTTGTCTTTTTGTTGCTGCATCTGCTGCTCTCTCCTGCTGCAGCAGCTTGAAACAAGCTGCTGCGGCGCCTGCTCCCCGGTAGCTGGCTGCGGCTCATCAGCACTTTTGTTGTCGTTCTTCTCGTGATTTTTCCGTTTAAATAAATAAATATTTGAAAAATATACTTCATACACTTTCAAAAAAACCGTCAAACCGCGCCACAGCCCCCCCAATGAGCTCCCCTTCGGCGCCGCCCGCATAACACAAACCGACGCAGAGTGCTGCTGCGTTTACTGTCGTTCTGTGTTTATTTTGATGGAAAAGAGTTTATTTTAACTCTTTTCTGTTTATTTTCACTTTTTTATTTCTTTATTTTTGCTCTTTTCTCGCTCTCTTAGCCGCCACATGACCCCGCCTTCGGCTGCAACCCCTCCCTCTCTGCTGTCTGTCTGTTGCACTGCAACACACTACAGGGTTTAGTACAACCAGCAGCAGCAGCAGCAGCAGCAGCAGCAGCAGCAGCAGGAGCAGCAGCAGCAGCAGCAGCAGGAACAGGAGAAGTTGCAGCAGCCGCACAATCAACAGCAGCCATCAGCAGCAGCAGCGACAGCGACCCGTGCAACCGCTGCTGCAGCAGCAGCAGCAGCAGCAGCAGCAGCAGCAGGAGCAGCAGGAGCAGTGATGGATCTGCGTGCAGATCCTGGCGCTCTCCTTGGGAGTTCTTCTCCTGGGGTAGTAGTGGAATCTGAGTTGGGGGCCCCCGCATCAGGGGGGCCCCCGAGGGGCCCCAGGGGGGCCCCCAGGGGCCCCCGGGGCCCCTCTTGGCGACGAAATAAATGGGTTTGGTTGAGGGTACTGCGACGCAGCTTCATACACTGCTGCTTGGTGCTGCTGCTAGCAGCACAGGTGATGGGGGCTATACACATGAAAGGATACCCGGGGCTGGAGCTGCTGATTGCTTCGCTTACACCAGGCGTTACGCTTCTTTGTTTGTACGTATAAAATATTTTATGCTGTTGCTGTTGCTGCTGCTGCTGCTGCTGGTGCTGCTGCTGCTGCTGCTGCTGTTGCTGCTGTTGTTGATGTTGTTGCTGCTGCTGTTTTATTTCTTTAATTATAGCCTTTCTCTCTGCTGCTTCTCCTTGTAATTCATTTTCTGTATACACGTTGCTGCTGCTGCCGCTCCTCATCCTC